GAGAGAGAGAGAGAGAGAGAGAGAGAGAGAGAGAGAGAGAGAGAGAGAGAGAGAGTTACATTGACAGATGGAGATATAAAGAACTACTGTCTGCTACGTTACCTGTGAAAATCCAACACGTTATTGTTGCCTGGAAACTTGTGAAATCTAGTTCGGATGTACAGAAGAGTACCATGTTGTGGAGAACACTAAAAAATGCGAATCGTTCACAAAATACTGTGACAAGGATGAACATTACGGAGAGAGTACACACATTATACCGTTGGATAGGAACCTCGTCAATTCTGATGATGGAGCCATTGCCACTGCGGGTCTTTTCATGAGGAGCCACTGACAACAGGGGAGTACGTGTCGAAAGTTGTGGTGTTTCAGCCATTTATGTGCCTTAAAAATAAATATTGCACATCTTGTCTCAAATGTAAGAAAGAAGAAAGTTTGGATACAATCGCCAACTACGTACGGGTGAGCCATGTAGAAATGTATGGCGATACCGAGACAGAAGATGACGGCAACTCGTGTCTAGTATACAGCGTCATCATGCTCCACATAGAATGTTCGCTACTGGTACAAAAAACAGGTAATAATATATGTAAATATAGACTTCATCAGTTTTGTATCCCCGAAATATAGGAAGCGTGATTGCATCATGGGCTATATCAGTAACTTGAAGATTTATGAAAATAACACCAGTTAAGTTATGTTGTTCTTAAACTCGTTTTCCTGGGCTATATTTAAATAGTCAAACAATTTCTCATGTGATCCAGTTCCAAAAGAATTCAGAATCTATTAATATTTTCGTAACGTAACAGTAATGGTAACCACGGGTATTGGAAGAAACCTTGGCATGAGGACGGTAGATTGATAAAACATTTAACAAAAATTGTGAAATATAAAGTTAAAAGCAAATACTTAGGATATTGTCGTAATTAACTAGATGTAGGAATCGAGATTGGTAACATTTTATCTCGGAAAGATCAAGGCTTCTAAATAACAAAGAAATGACGGCTTTTCTTCTGCTTGCAGAGCACAAGGTCATATAAACAAGGAAACAAAAAGGTTCGTTGTAGTACAAGTTTAATATAGGATATACATAATTTCTGGTACGATGCTTCCTAGCCAACAGTTCATAGATGGAACACGACAAAGGACTAAAATCTGCTCTGGAAAGATGTCCAGAATACAAAGTCATGCTAAACGTATATGGGGTACAATGACCTTGATTAACGTGTGAATCCTTACTTGGATGAGCCAAAAGAAACGAGAGTTCCACAGCGGTCAGAGAAATTCTCACAAATATGAAATAAATTTATATGGGATATGCGCGGCTTTAAACGTTTCAGGTTTTGTTTAAAAACGTTTTCATTAAAGGAACTAATTATAAAGCATTCTGATGAAAGTCACAATGTCCATATCAGGTATGGATAAAGTGTGTGTGTATATGAGTGTGTGTGATTTAGATTTTTAACGTAACTTTAACAATTGTTCAGTCATATCGCTACTATGTCTGCAGTGTGAAAGTTGATAGTGATGTCTAGCACTGGGGCATCATGTCTCAAACATTTGGCATGATGTCCCACCCAGTCACATTATCCTGACACCAGGCTAACCAGTCCTAACACTAACCTCTTAATGCTGAGCGCCAAGTGAGGCAGCTGTTAGTTGTGGATAAAGTACAAAAGCAGTAAGATAAACAAGTCCTATAAGCATGTAAGTCAATGACTAGCGCTGACCCTAGATGAACTCAGGTTTGCTTTAAAATATCGATTTTTATGACGTCATGTCCAAAAGAATCTGTCAATACAGATGGACACGCCGTTACAATTGGAAATTCCCTGAAGTCATTCCTAAAGAACTACTCACGACAAGTTAAAACATTTATCAGTCTTTTGCGATTTTTGTTCCTTTCATTTTCAATGACGGATTACTGTTGAGCTAGCGTTATATTCAGGTAAAATCATATATGATTGGAGGATTATTCCATGAATTAAAAGTTAATCGATCCTGAAGAAATACTAGGTTACATCTACCTAACAATTTACACGCTTTAAAAATCTAAGTTTGACATTCCGGTGTGCCGAGTGGAGTAAAGTGCTCGCCTTTACAGATCACCGACATTTCATCTCTGATTGCGTGTGTTCGATTCAAGTCTAGTGCTCGACCAAGGTTTGCTAATAGCTTCCCGTCGGTTTTCTTAATGGGTTTTCAGGATTTTTCCTTCACCAAAAACATTCATTGGCCTGCCATACGCTCAAAAATGGCGTTAAAAACGTAACAACCATCCAACAAATATATAATTTGGAGTGCGTTTTTCCTTAGTCAAAATGTGTGCTTCTTTGTCTCTCAATATTTCGACCTATTCAAAATTAGATATACATTAAGTACTTCAGTCAGTTTATTTCCGAGACAGTTTCGCTATCGAGGTCATCAAAACACATGAATCTGACGGCTTGTTTCAGAGGTAGGGTTGCTTTTGGGGTATACTTTATTTCAAAATTTAGCATATCTGTCATAAAACAGTTAAACATATTTAAACATATTGAAATGGCGCAGACAGAAAATCAAGCTGAAAGTAGCATGAAGGAAATGGCAGAAGGTACCGTGTGTGTGATTTGAATATTTAACGTAGCTTTAACACATTTTCAGTCACATCGCCAAAAGGTCTGCAGAATAAAAGTTTATAGTGATGCCCAGCACTTGGGCATCATGCTGCGGACGTGTAGCACGAGGTAGAAGGTACAGACCCAACCTGATCCGAATATGGATGAATTGTCTGCTATATATGTTTACATTTTGTTTAAAAATATGCCAATATTTAACGTAAAGCTGGAGGATAATAGACGTGCGATACAAGAGAAACCGCACACAAACATACTAGTACATATGAATCGTTAGTGAATAAAATAAAAATTACGGGATATTGATCATTCAGGGAGGAACTGTACAAAATTAATGCATTAATTGTCAGAGGAGATGAATTGTCATTCCGAAGGCTGTTGGAAGAATCAAGTTACAAAAATACAATAGGTCCACTTTGGCATGCAAAATACTACAAAAGGCTCAGGATTTTATACTTTTTCAGGTAATAATGTTCGAATTCCAAAGACTGGTCATCCGCAGTATGTCAAGAAGAATTAGACATTTTTATATCAAATCATCAATGATTCCTTGAGAATGAAATAATTCTAATTTTTTTCTCCTTCTTAGCGCAGCTCTAGGATTATAGAATGAAATACGATTGCACGTGTCTTTCTTGTGATAAGTACTGACACAAATGTATCAGGGTTTCAGACAGGGTAAGACAACAAGAACAAAATTCAGAGGATGCACAACAGACTGGGGCCAACGACCGTCACAAATCGTAATCACAGAACCTACTGGAGAATATTTCTAGGGCCAAAAGTTCCGTCCTAGGTTATGAAATTATACATACAAGAGCCGAATGGGGTGGGGATGCAGATTTACGGGCTCCAATGCAATCAGGCTAAACAAAACAACAAACATAAGTTTATTGGGTACTATGTCCGTATTGAGTAAATAGACACAACCACTTTTACTTTGGTGCCCTTTCGAGGAAGGTCAGGGCCATTTTGCAATGTGGAGACCCCTCTCCCAACTCTTGACCTGATCCAGCCCTGAGTATCCTATCTACACACTACATACATACAAACATATCTCGTATACAGTGTATTAACGCTGTAACCATGTTTTGGGTTTAGTTCATGTCACTGACAATATAGTAGACAGCAAACTCGAGATGGTGGGTCGGTAGACCAACAAGTTGGTCTCCACTTTTTTTCTGTCAGAAAAAGAGAAAGCGGAGACCTACACATTAGTCTAGTGGATAGGGTGCAATTCCCCCTGACGCCATTGCAAATCAGGCGCGGTCGAGATTTTCATTTTCTTGTGCAGCTGAAATTATTAGTTTTTCATCTTTACCTAAATGTAATGCGGGCAAGTTTTCACCAAATTTATATTTAGGATGAGGGTTGGGGTAACTGACAAAACCAAAACTGGTCTCAGTAGCAAAGTCGTGGCCTCACTGAAGAACATTGCCCCCCCCCCCACTCGGGCTCGCATTATTGCTTACAATGTCTAAGCTAAATATTGTTACCAAAAATATTAAGCTTTGCAACATTCATATTGAAATATCAGCGCTTATTCTTAAGTAGGTCGCGAGAAATGAGAGAACTGTCATCCGTTGTAGTATTATTTAGTACATGTATGACAGGTAAACTGCAAGCAGCGATACGAATCCTTGTGTGCTCCCCCGGCACCTCGAACCCTCGTGTTGCCCCTGAGGGTAGGTTGTAACGAACACCTTTTCAGTAATATTCGTTAATGCTTTTAATTATGGTACTCACCCTTCAGTGTTCTCCTCCAAAACTTCTACAACACCTACCACCTTGTTTAGTCTGTGTAAACACTTTCATCAACCTTGACATTGTTGGAACATGTACATGCTGTAAATAATCTAATATCCGAATCATTTTTATTCTATTCCATAACAGGAATCCTTATATGACCTGTCTTACATGGCATCAGTAATTATGGCATCTCAAGTGATCCACTTTAACGGCTGACAGATTAGGATGTAAAGAATCTAAACTTTGTACCTATACACATTCTGTACACACAAATGTGCGCATATAACATTTTAGCACATTTAAACAAAACGTGTAGAGGTACACATTTTTCCTAATTTGAATAACAATTGGTCGACTACTACTAACTTTACTATAACCAACTTAAACTGCTTATATTGTGATGTGATTATGATTTTTAAAATAGCTATAACAATTTTTCAGTCATATCGCTACGATGTCTGCAGTGTGGCAGTTTATGGTGATGTCTAACATTGGGGATCATGCTGCAGACATGTAACATGATGTCCCACCCAGTCACATTATCCTAATACCAGGCCCACCAGCCCTAACACTAACCTCTTATTGCTGAACGTCAAACGAGGTAACTGTCAGTTCCATTTTTGTAAGTCTATGGTATGACTCATTAAGGGATCGAACCCACGAACCCCCGCATCTGAAGCGGACGCTCTAACCACTAGGCTACCAGAGCGGTTTTACAAACTTATAAGTCATAACAGGTAATAACTAAAACTAGTTAGCTATCCTTTCACATTAATAAATTAAAAAGAACAGTAGTGCTCTCGGATAAGAATTAACCTCGCGCATTATTATATTTGTATCTAGGACAACTAAACCACTCATAATTTGTTTATATTAACATAGAAAGAAAGCGGAAGGAAACATACTTGGGGTTTATATTAACAACATTTTGAAATTCAGTATTTTGTCGAAAACGTTAGTACATCTCTTTATCTCTCTTGTTTCATATCTTGTACACAACAATATTTTGATTGACTTATCACATGTACAATATTGTATTTACATATATTTAATAAACATGTATAATTGATTCGTGCAGCTTATCAGTTTAAATTAGTTAATATTACCATTTAGCTTGCATGCTGTACAATGTATCTTAGTTTGTGACTTTTGTAATTATGGAAGCGAAAAAAAAATGTACGTCTTATTTGCGTAAATTGAAAAACGTTTCTGATTTATTGCTTGCCACCAACGTGTAATAGCGCCTTTATAAATGAATAATATTGCATACATTCTTTCATTTCAGCAACAAATATTTCTTTTTCTCCTTTTGGTCACTTTGTTAGGAGGCTCGTAGGAAAGTCGAAACATGTGTATTCGGAATGCTTTTGCCTCACAGATTTCCGAAGAATATACAAATTCCAAGTTTCGCTTTCTTACACCCCAAAACATCTATTGATCATTTTGGTTTCCCCCACCCCCACCCCACCTCCATATTTAAAGGCTGATCACTTATGGAGTAACAACATGTGTAGACCTGTCTAATGAATATCGCTTAATACACAATATACGTCCATACATCCGTTACATACAGAGAGAGAGAGAGAGAGAGAGAGAGAGAGAGAGAGAGAGAGAGAGAGAGAGAGAGAGAGAGAGAGAGAGAGAGAGAGATTTGAAGGTTTCTACATGGACAACTTACTTAATTCGATCATTCGTTGGATTATTCATAATAGGAAGAGTTTTAAAGCTTTTGACATATCATTTTCTTTTTATAATTTAACTTGATTTTAGTCAATTTCGTCCTGCATTACACATGATTAAAACTTCACGTACAAGATAATATCGACTTTAGTAAAGAAAAGTCATGGCATATATCTAAGTTGAAATGCTAAACACCGTTTCCTTATGCAAGTCACTTCTGATTTTGAAAACAATATGTTCTACGTCTAATGCTTGCTGTATTACAATCATAAATATATGTTATGTGTTGTTATATGATGCAATCTTCAGGTCACCATAAGATATATAACGTTTTAATTTCAATAAATATGGTACAGTAACGGTTGAGGTCTTTATGCTTCTAGTTTAATGACTATGGTTGGAAGAATGCAGTAAACTCCAACGCTAAAATTCTTTTCAAAGATAAAAGAAAATACATTTATTAGCAAACATATCAATGAAATATATATATATATATATATATATATATATATATATATATATATATATATATATATATATATATATATATAGTTCATATACAAACAATACTGTCATACAGGTTAGAGAAATTAAATTCGTACTCTACCGAGTTTCGAACCCAGGTCCGCAAAGAAATGGCACCCATCGCCTTGCCCGCACGCACCAGCCCATATTCCGTCACGACTAAGCACGCATCACCAAAATACGATGGCAATGAGTCGGTGTTATAAGAGTTCGAGCGCAGCAGACACACTCGCATGACGACCTATACACACACAAACACATTCTTTCCAGATTCCTATGAAAGAAATCAAGGAATATAGGATTTTTTTATTACAAAGAATTATAAATATATACCAGACAGAACAGACTCTGCTATCCCTGGATTCTGTAGTAGATTCTTTATAATAGTTGGCAGAATTTAATAGTTTAATACAAACAATGCTATCATACAGGTTAGAGAAACTAAATTCGTACTCTACGGAGTTTCGAACAATGGTCCGCGAGTAAATGGTAAATGGCACCCATTGCCTTGCCTGCACGCACCAGCCCAATATATATATATATATATATATATATATATATATATATATATATATATATATATATATATATATATATATATATATATATGTATATATATATATATGTATATGTATATGTATATGTATATGTATATATATATATATGTATATATATGTATATATATATATATATATATATATATATATATATATATATATATATATATATATATATATATATATATATATATATATATATCACAGTATTATGATACCACTCTTTGAAGAATGGCTTGTGAAAATATGTATGTAAGATTTAGTGTTTTTTAATACTCTAAGGTTTATTTTTCCAGCATACTATTATTTCAATTTAAAAGTTGGTATGTGTTCAATCCACCACGAGAACAATTGCTTAACTTTACCCTTTCATTATAGCATTTTACTTCTATGAAATGGAATTGATAAGCACATTAATAATGTAGAATTGAGGTTACATAACTTTGAATCGAATACATATAAAGCTGAATTGAACCTCTAGCTTCGTCTCAGGTAATCTCAGGCATTGGTCAATTTTTAAAGCGTGTCGAACACCGGCTTGAATGCTAAACATTTTCGATAACTTTCAAAATTTGAAGAATAAACCAACCGACAAATATTAGAAGAAAAGCATAAAACTGTTTTAACGACATCGCTGAATTACGTAATCAAAAATCCTTATTATGTCTCGAATTAAAATTATCGAAACCGGGCTTAACGGTTGTATAACGGTAACAATTCTACAATCCCTGGTAGGCGGAGTTAAGAATGTTAAGAAGTACAATTATTTCGACTCTATGCTCTTAAAATATGTAGCAGTAAATGAGTGAGAAGCAGCAACCTTTGTAAATTCAACACATATTTTTTCCCCAATAGACAAAGTAACAATGTAAAAAGAACTTACGATATTACTAACTAAATCCCAATTAATCCTAGAATTACTGACACAAGTAGTAATGAATTAAGGTTTGAACAAACTTTAGTGGTATTCCAAATAATTTCCAACGTTAAAGGTGTATATGTGCTTCTAGTGACCTGTCGTTTCTAATGTATTAATGTACCAATGGCCTGAAATTATTATTGTTATTTATGGTGAATATAGTGAAGAATAAAATACATTTTTTCTTCACACTATTCATGGCAGTTACAGAAAAGCAATTTAGTTTATGTTTTTACGCATTTAACAAATCTTTTGTTGAATTCCAGTAATATAATCCTGGGTTTCCTTTTTTTACATTTTTTTTTTACATTCGCTTTTATTCCCGGTTAATGTTTCGGTCCAAGAATAGTATTTAACACTTTGTATTGCTAATGAAGGAATATTTTTTAAAAAATATAATGCAAGCCCAAATAAAACACTGAACACAACAAATGATTCTGCCTCAATATCGTATAGCTTAAATAATTTCTAGATAGAAAAGATTATAAAAAATCAAGAAACGAGAGACGAGCCAGGATGTAGGAGAAAGGTTCATTTTCAGAACAATTCAAGCTATAATTAGACAAGGTCCTAATATTGAATCTACATTCAGAGTCGATATGTACGATGATTAGACGAAGACGATTTGCCAGACAACGATATAGGATTTCAAAACTTAATCAGGCAATGGGGATGAATTCTTATTATTTTGCCAAATGTAATTAGAAGGTGACATTTATAGGATACTGCGAATTAAAAAAAATGTGTACTTAACTGTAATTGTTTATTTTTATACTCGTGGAATTGTCATATTACTTGATTTTGTGAATTGAACCGTTCTGAACTATTTTGATACCGTGATGTGACCTATGACTTAATTCATGGATTTGCCATATAATTGGATTTAAAATGTCAACCATTGTGAATTTTAGTAGATGTAATTAGCACAAAGTAAAATTTGTTACTTTGTTGTGATACATTTCACTCTATAATGCACGTATATTTTGCAGAATATTGTGGTCAATTTTCTTACTTTCCAAAGTACATCTCTGACTTACTGATGACAGGTTACACCTTTAGATCGATCTAAATTGCAAAATACACCTCATCTTCAAGACTTCAACCACTGAAAAATGCACTTGTTCATACTATTCATGCCAGCTACAACAAAGCAAATCAGTTTCTTTTTTTACGCATTTAGTACAATTTAATCTTGATCGGGTGCCCTGGTAACCGATTATCAGATTTAAGTAAATCCATTAGCTGTTTAGTGAAATTTGCATAGCTCTAACTGCACTAGAACTGAGGTAATATGCCAACAACTGGTTTGTGTTAAATCGTCACTGGGGTTTAAGTTCTCAGAAAAATACTCTCCGACAGTCTTGTCTCTTCTTTACAAAATAGACCGCCTTCGGGAGTTCTTCACTCATATTAACAACACAGTACCTATAGGAAACATTAGCCTCGCAGTGTATCCATAGAAATGCATACATGGACGCCATTTCTAAACTGTAGTAGTTTAATGTAGTAAAACAAATGAACATCAAAGAATTTTGGTCAAACATTGACAGTCTTTAAACAATAAAAATTATAGAATCTTAAGAAAGTAGCACATATTGGCTTTGGAGTTGTTTTTGATAAATATAACTATGACATTTGTATGGTCTGATAATTTTATGTTAGTGGAGTTAGCACCAAGAGTGGTACACATGCAACAAAAGATTAAGTTATGTGAACGTAATATACATCATTTTGGCCAAATATTGACTATTTTATCAGCAAAGGATGATACATTGTGTATATGAAGTAACTATCTTGCTATTGTAGGGCATGTCATAACCAAGGATAGAGAACGCTATATGACTCAAGGAATGTGGTTCGGTTTTTGTAGATCACTTTGCATTAAATAGATTTTCTGCTCAGTTTTCATTTCTTTTCTGGTCCTGAAATAATTGTCTTTTTGTACACCTTCTTGGCTTGAAAGTATTCAAACAGTCAATATAGATAAGTTCAGTTACATTCCTTTTGCAGACATGACAGGAATATCGT